TAGGTCTGCTGGTTTGTGTGTTGTTTTTGTAATGACAGCCAAGTAGTAGCATGGCTTAACACATTAGTTTCACTGATCTTAGTTAAATCTCTGCAAACGTTTAGTGACACACCCAATATTCAGGCTAATGTTGCCATCTGGTTCTTCTAGTCCTGTTGTAAAGGTTTGGGGCAAATATGGGTCATTTTCACAATTTTAGGTGAAAATTAAGATAATCTAAGTGGCTTTGCCAGTTTCCATCAGAAAACCTAATCAGAACCTTCCAATTTAGGTCTGTTTGGATTTTGAGCTGCTGCATTCATTTGATTTCCAAACTTGGAGCAAAACACAGTGTGTCAACCCATACACATTGAAAGCACAGCTCTGACTTTAATGCTCTTAGACTATATTATGACAGTCTTTCCTTACTAAATGCATACACAACTAATTTTTAAAGAAAAGTGCTTCTAGCTATGTGTTTTGTTGTATTTCAGAGCCTCGTGTTTTTGATTTAGGTAAAACGAACTATTTCACTCTTGTTTATATCTTGTTTTGTTAGTCTTGATTCGCTATACTGTTAATTTTCCAGTACTTTTAATAGAGAGACTTGATGGCACGCACTTATAAATATATGAAAATCTCTATGAAGTAACTTGATATAAGTTGTTAATTGTAGGTTTTGGCTCACTTTACAGGACAAATTTAGAGTTGACTGTTGTAAGTATAGGGTATAGTTAATGTTCAGTCAATTTATTCTGCTCATGCCCTAAAGAGTAGTAGTGTGCTTATGATCAGAATTTCTCAAATGTTGGCAGTAAGAGCTTGACAAGTAAAGAAAAGATATTGTCTGAAATGATTAATCTAATCAATCAGAGCTTTTAAATAATACCAATGAGCAATTTATATTTCTCATAAGAATTTTGGAAAAAATAGCAATATATGTTATGAAAGTACCATTTTTAATACGAACTTATCACTTTCCTTTGCAGTACGTGTCCTACCATTAACTGGAATACTGGTTCTGCCATACCTCTCATGCAGTGGTAAAAAAATATATACTTTAGGTTCTCCCACTATAAAAAAAAAATTGTTTGATGGATGGTAACAGCTTTGCATGTTGTCACTGGTACACAAATTAATATGTAGAACATGTACTAACTCCACAAAAGCTGAAGTACACACACACTGTTAATTGCGGGTCTCTTACAATTATTTTAACTTACCACAGAATGTTTTTAATTGCTGCATAGATAAATATTTTAAGGCTGGAAAATTTAATTTTAAATTACATATTCTATTAAATGTTTTCTAATTTATCTTGTGTAACTTTATGCTATTCTGAGTTTTGATAGTTACAGGGCAGATAAAAATATTACTGTCAGTACAGATTGAACCTCTCTAATTCCGCACTCCCTGGTCCGGCAACATCTGTGGTCTGGCATAGGCGCCGACTCCGTGGGTGCTCCAGGGCACCCACGGGGAAAAATTAGTGGGTGTGGAGCATCCACCAGCGCCAACTTCCCCCTTCTGCCCTCCTTCCCCTGAGCCTCTCACGCACCAGCAGCCCCGCGCTTACCAATTCCTCCTCCTCCCTCCCAGCACTTCCAGAGCGCCGCAAACAGCTGATTCACAGCGTTCAAGCCCCGGGAGGGAGGGGGAGGACCTGGGACCAGCATCGGAGCCCCCGAGGAGGGGGCTGGTGGCCGGGACCCCGGATGGCAGTGGGGATCGCGGGCGGGGGATCACTGTGGGTGCAATGCCTGGGGGTGCTGCAGCACCCCCTGCAGCCCTGCTTTCCCGCACCTATGGAGACCCGCTGGCACTCTGCATTGACTTCCTGTGGTTTGGCATATTCTCTGGTTTGGCACCGGTCAGGTCCCAAGGGTGCCATACTAGAGTGGTTCAATCTGTACTAAACCTATCATTACAGACCTTAGTATCATTCTATCACCTGTTTCAGTAATAAATTATAGATTGCAGTTCATTTTTTCCTCAAAAGTGTTTCCTGAAAATCCAACAATTTGCCTTTCTGTCATTCTGAAACTAGTTATTGCCCTGAATATATTTTAAATGGTTTTCCCTATATTCCTTATTTTCCTGAAAAGAAACTATCTTTGGTAAATGTTACCCACTACTTTCCTAAAAGGAGGGTTGTTGTTTAGTGATTAGAGCAGGAGAGTGGTTGGGTTTATTAGCATTGGGAAAGTCACTGTGAGTATTATTATTATTTATTTGTATTACTGTAACAGCTAAGAGCCCTAGTCATAGATTAGGACCCCCATTGTGTTAGCTGCTGTACAAACACAGAACGAAAAGGCAGTCCCTGCCCCCAAGGAGTTTACAGTTTAAGTATAAGAAAAGAGACCACAAATGGCTACACACAGGGAATAAAAAGGAAACAATGAGACAGAATTAGTCAGTATGATAGGCAGTGGTCTCTGCAAGCCAACAATGTAACCGTTTTTTAGGCAAAAGTTCTCTGTGTCTGTTTATGCCATCTATAAAATGGGTATCATAGAATATCAGGGTTGGAAGGGACCTCAGGAGGTCATCTAATCCAACACCCTGCTCAAAGCAGGACCAATCCCCAGGCAGATTTTTGCCCCCGATCCCTAAATTGCCCCCTCAAGGATTGAACTCACAACCCTGAGTTTAGCAGGCCAATGCTCAAATCACTGAGCTATCCCTACCTACCTACTGACCTACCTCACAATGTATGTTGCAAGTCTTAAAATTTGCAACGTGATTTGAAATGCTTCTACTGAAAGGAGTTGTATGTTAATTATTGCTATTGTACCATCCATAAGTTTCACATGTTAGAATGTGAACCTTTGAAAACTATAAAATTATAAAAGTTTTAAACTCTTTCTGTGATATCTATAGACATGTTAGTAGGGTGACCAGATGTCCCGTTTTTAAAGGGACAGTCCTGTTTTTTGGGACTTTTTCTTATATAGGCACCTGTTACCCCCCACCCGCTGTCCCGTTTTTTCACAGTTGCTGTCTGGTCACTCTACATGTTAGTTTCATGAGGTATTAAAAATGTGTACACTCTATCTAAGTTTTAGTCACAAGTTTTTTCTATTTAATTTTACTTTTGGTTGTTGAAATATTTATTCTTAGTCAAGTTCTTGTTTTGCATAAGAGCGAGAGATCTTACTCAGTTTACTTCCACTTGAGTTTGAAGCTTTATGTTGCCTTAATTTAAATGAGAGTATACAGTGCCAATTCAGGATACTTTCTCCATTTTTTGAATGAAGCTTGGATTGTTTGTACTGTAGTTCAGCTGGAAGGAAACTTCTGATTAGTGACTGATAAAGACAGTATGCACTTCCATCAATTGGTCACTAGGGAGTGATGGGGTAAAACTGTAAGAACTTCAGTGGTTTGCATTTATCAGATCCATGTGTCAGCACATGTAGCTCCAAAGTGGAGATTTCAAATAATTACCTCTTTTCTTCTGTCCTTGTGTAGCAAACAAATATGTTGTATTAACTGTGACTTTAGAATAGTGTTAGTAGCAGCACAATGAGTACTCAAGTCCTTCTAAGGTTATATTTTGAGCTGCTGTTGGTTTGTAGCACTTCACACAATCATTCTTAAAAAAATAAAATGAAGAGCTTCTGTGTTGCACAAGTCTACAGGATCCTCAATCCAGATTTATAGCACCAAAACTGTCTATATTTTAGCTTTTTTTATACTGAAATTTTAAGATACAGAAATTATTCACATAGAAACTAAATGATAAAATCAGTATAGAAGAAGTGCGTTAATTTGCACTAATGTCTGGGAGATTTGCAAATTACTGAATTGGTGAATAAGTTTAAACAAAAATAGCAAGGATAATTCATTGCAAAATTTATAATGATTTGTTCACACATTCGACGTGTAATTTGGTTCGCATTATTTTTACATACACGTTTTGCAGTACACTTGTAAAAGTAACATAGTCTTCATAATATCCACTCAGAGCTCTGTATTTTCTGAGGGAGGAAACAGCACTGCTTGTGTGCAAATTATGGGGTATATAGATTAGCAAACTGCAAATTAGCAAGGTTCTACTCTATGACTTAAACAAGAGACCATATTATTATTTAAATCATAAGTAATATTCAGTGTATATGTAGACACGTTTTGAATGGAGGAATGATTAAGTATTCATAGATAGATGCTATCTTTAATGCCTAAATCTTGCAATAAGTGCTATGTGGGAAGATCCCTGCATCTGAACAGAGTCTCGGACTAGTAGGCTCTATCCAGCCAAAGGCCCACGCAGAGCTCATTGCAGGATCATGGCCCAAAAATGCATTATTACTTTATTAGCTGCAAGAGTGTTTTGAGCCTTCTAAACAAATGCCAGTGTACTATTATATATGTTTATAATGGGGTTTTGTAATGTTTGTTTCTTATCCTCTAGGTTTAACACTTTGTCATGCACTATATATTTAATCCACACAAAAACAATAGCAATTAACAATAGAAAAATGAATTTATTTCGGAAACCTGTTTCTCAGCATTTAAGGAAAGTTTACTAAAGGAAAAAAATTGTAAAAACCTTGTTAGTCACATTAGCTATGATATGAATCTCTGAATCTACAATAGTGACAGCATGCTAAATATTTAGTTTGTTGTTTCATTGTGGTATGGAGATTTTATAAATAGTAATTCTTAAACCCTAATTGAAGTACTTTATCTTCAATAAATAGTTTATAAAGATTTAAAACATTTTCTGCTGTTTTAACAATGCCTAAAATTATAAATCCTGTAGTGATTAACCTTATGTGAATGTACATTTTAAAATATATGTATGTCATTTATTGTCAAATTGCATACTGTCCTATTACCCATCACCTTTTAGCCATTTTAATTGTATGTCATTAATCTCAACAGTGTTTTGGCATGACTTATTTTTGTTTTCAGTCCTTTGCTCCATTTTACTATATTCTGATTTTTAGTTCTTCGGTGCTATTTTGATGTTACACATTCTGTATTGGTAAAAAGATTTTTTGTTAATTTTACAGGTCCACCTTCAACCCTTCCTCTAAGCACTCAACCCTCCAGTGGCAGCTCCACTCTTTCCAAGAAGAGACCACCTCCCCCACCCCCTGGACATAAAAGAACCCTCTCTGACCCACCAAGCCCGCTACCTCATGGACCCCAGAATAAGGGCCCAATTCCTTGGGGTGAGTTGTAGAAATGCAAAATAAAACAAAACTTCAGATGGGTGATGTATGTAACTTGCATCTCTTAGTCAGTGATATCTTTCCATTGTTGGTATTGCTGCTATATTTTGTGGAATTTCAGAACAATTCCATCCTCAAATAAATCCCCAGGCTCTCTGTGATGTTGCCTGTACCAGTCCAGAGACTTGCAGGGTTTACATCTTTCTGCCAGTAGGAGGATGTAAAAAACAGATTAAGTATTTGTATAACAGGATACTTTACTGAGAAAAACTTTATAGAAACATTTATTACAGACCTATCCAGATAGGCCCTTTCTTTTCATAGTAAAGACTAACTAGCCCAGTCAATCTTCTGCTTCTATTTGTAAATCCTGCCTACTCCACACCTCTGAGCGACATAGTTATACTGACCTATCCGCCCTCCCCTCCCCTCCCTAGTAGACAGCACTGTGTACATAGCTACCGCCTCTCAGGGAGGTGGATTAACTATGCTGACAAGATAAGCTCTCCTGTTGGCATAGTAGCATGTTCTAAAGCACTACAGTGGTGCACCAGTAGCATTGTACAGTACGTGAAGAGAAGCACTTAGAAAAAATGAGGAGAGGAATTGGTGTAAAGCAAAATGGTATGGTTCCCCCTTTTCAACCAGATTGGCTAGTCAGAGTTTGACTTTGACTAGTAGAAATTGATAGTCTTGCATTTTCTTTCATGTAATCTTGTTTACTTACATGGAATGTACAAAGTCTCTGTTTCTCCGAACGCAGGAGGAATCGAGAACAAGAGGAGCAGTTTCTTACGTTACAACCTCTTTGGCTAACAGACCCAAAAGCTCACTCCCTCGCTTTTTCCAGTGTCATGCTGTGCTCGCTGGCTACTGCTGGGCTTTCTCGTTTTTTTCCTCTGCGTCTCTCTCTGTCTGGTCTGTTTTCAGTTTCTCTGTGTTCTGCCTACATACACACAGACCACAAACAATACTCAGCAAAACTCTCTGCCCACACAGTCCAAATTCCTGGGCAGATTCACAACACCTGCTTTTTTTGGTTTGTTTTTGTTTTTATTATAGGTAAATATGCATGTATGCAAGAGACAATAAATCAAACCTCATTTAATATTTTGATCAACCATTTAAAAGAGTCTGTAGACATTACCGACAGATACTAGTGAAAGTGTCTGGCACTGATGATACATTGAGTCAGTGTTAAAAAAAAAAAAAAAAAAAAAATCTATACCAAGAGAGATGTTTCAGTCCAATGGCCACTGAACAAAAAATGCCTTTTCCAGTCAACACCATTTCGTCTTAGGTGGGAGGCTTCAGATTAACTTATCCTGACAGTTATATTGATTGAAGGATGTGTTCACACCCACTCTCGAAGAGGTTTGTGATTGATGCAGTCATCGGTATCTGTCAGCATAATGCTATGTGCGGTAAACATTTGATACTGCTGCAAGTAAATACAGATTGATGTATTTTTCTGGGGTATTTCCAAGTGACTATCACAGATGTCCCAAATGTTTTTTTCTGCCAAATCTAGCTTTTTGGACACAATGCATCTCAGGCCCATGTGATTTTACTCTGCACTGAGTCCAGCTGGCAGGACTTCCCTAAGCCCCCTTAACTTTAGGATTTAGGTCCAAAAAATGTTTAATGGGTCACTCACACTTTACTCAGATTGCTATGGCTGTCCTATTCTAAAGCTAAAATCTCTGACAAACATAAAAGCCATATAATTAGTCCAGTCAGCAACCTTTGGGCTTACACTAGATCCCAGTCTGATTCCAGTACTGATTTGTCTGTCATCTGTATTTGAGAATCAGGTCAGATTCCAGTATGATAGACGAAAAAGCCCAATGAAAGTGAAAGTTGCTATCTAAAGAAGAAAATATATACTTCTCTGTTACATTCATCTACTTTCTTAAAAACTTGAGAAGTGAAGAGAGGCTTTGCAGCATGCCCTGAAGCACATCTTTGGGCTATTTCAGGACAAAGTGGGGAGTGCATTCATAGATTGAAAGGCCAGAAGGGGCCATTCTGATCATCTAGCCTGACCTCCTGTATTACACAGGCCATAGAACTTCCCCATAATAATTCCTAAATCATATCTTTTAGAAAAACATCCGATCTTGATTTTAAAATTGTCAGCGATGGAGAATCCATCACAGCCTTTGGTAAATTGTTCCAATTATTAATCATTCTCCCTGTTAAAAATTTATACTTTATTTCCAGTCTGAATTTGTTTAAATTCAACTTCCAGCCACTAGATTGTATTATACCTTTCTCTGCTAGATTAAAGAACCCATTATTAAATATTTGTTCCTCGGGTAGATGCTTATAGACTGTAATCAAGTCACCCCTTAACCTTCTCTTTGTTAAAATAAATAGATTGAGCTATTTCAGTCTATCATTATAATCATTCTTGTGGCTCTTCTCTGAACCCTCCCCAATTTATCAACATCCTTCTTAATTCTGGGCACTAGGACTGGTGTAGTATTCCAGCAGCGATCGCACCAGTGCCCAGTATAGAGATAAGGTTACCTTTCTACTCCTGCGTAAGATTCCCCTGTTTACGCATCCTAGGATCACATTAGCTTTTTTGGCCACAGCATCACACCGGGAGTTAATGTTCTGCTGATTATCCTCCAAATCTTTTTCAGTCATTGCTTCCAGGAATAGAGTCATTCCCCCACTTTGTAAGTATGGTCTACAATTCTTTGTTTCTAGATATATACATTCACAGTTCGCCATATTAAAACGCATATTGTTTGGTTGCACCCCATTTGCCAAGCAATCCATATTACTCTGAATCAGTGACCCATCCTCTTCATTATTTACCACTCCTCCAGTTTGTGTGTCATTGCAGACTTTTATGATGACTTCATGTTTTCTTCCAGGTCAGTGATAAAAATGTTAAATAGAATAGGGCCAAAAACGATCCTTCTGGGACCCCACTGGAAACATACCTGTTCAATGACAATTCCCTGTTTATATTTTGAGTCAATTTTAGCCAATTTTTAATTCGTTCAATGTGTGCCATGTTAATTTTATATCATTCTAGTTTTTTAATCAAAATGTTGTGTGGTACCAAAATCGAATGCCTTAGAGAAGTCTAAATATGTTACATCAGCACTATTATCCTTATTGACCAAACTTGTAATCTCGACAAAAAAAGATATCAAGTTAGTTTAATAGGATCTATTTTCCATAAAATCATGTTGATTTGCATTAAGGACATTACCCTCCTTTTATTCTTTATTAACTGAGTCCTGTATCAGCCGCTCCATTATTTTACCCAGAATTGATGTCAGGCTGACCGGCCTATAACTACCTGGGTCATCGCCTTTACCTTTTTTAAAAATTGGCACAACATATCCTTTCTTCCAGTCTTGTGGAACTTCCTCAGTGCTCCAAAACTTATTGAAAATCAACATAATAGTCTAGTGAGCTCCTCAGCCAGCTCTTCTAAACTCTTAGATGCAAGTTAAATGAACCTGCTGATTTTAAAAAACATCTAACTTTAGTAGCTTCTGTTACCCTGAGTTTTCAGAACCCAAAGCAGTGGTAATTTAACTGTTTCTCTCCAGGTGATGTCAGGAATAAATCAATGGGGGCACACCTCCGTCTGATACATGATTGATACAAACCAAAATGCTTTTACCTAAAACTACTTTTTAATTAGGTCTCAAGCACACACACACACGTATATATCTATTGTGCCAGTAAATTCAGAGTATTCCAAACATTTATAGTTACCCAAAAAGTCTGAAATTGTTTCAAGAAATCAGCAGCCAGGCTTCAGGTGGCCCCCTCCTTCTATCTAGCTGCTGGGGAACTTAGGTGTCAGATCCTTTCCCAAGAAAAAGCTTCCTCTGACTGCTCCAAAGAACACTTTCTAACTAAACTTTTTATAAATTTTCTCCAGACAAAGCACATAAATCATAATAGCCCCTAATAGGCTAACAATTTCCATAGCAACAGCCAATAACAATTCAGTATTCTTATCACCAAAGCATTTCTAGTCATAACAATAAAACTTACATGTCAGAGGCTCCTAAAACCAAGGCTGTCGAAACATTCCTTCTATTTTCATGGAAGCTTAACTCTTTGTCCCAACCTCCCATTCTGATTAGCAGAACTGCAAACATGTAGCTGCACGGCCTTGCCTCTCACGGTCCTAAAACTATTTCTAGCTATGTGATGATTGGGTTTTAGCTGGCAGTGTTTGAACATACAAAGTGGAAAGAATGTCAAATTCAGTGGCTACACTTCTGGCTAACATCCTCCAGAGATACTAATGTGTTATCATCACCATGTGATGAGACTGTATCATCAGTTTTTCCCCAAATACAGAACAGAAATATTTATTGAACACTTCTGCCTTTTCTGCATTATTATTGATAATTCCACCATTTCAATCTAGTAATGGACCAATACGTTGTCAGGATTCTTTTTGTTAACTCTTCTGGCCATACTTTTCTCCTTATGTTCATTTGCTTCCCTTATCAATTTTCTACAATTCCTAATTTTGATTTATATTCATATCTTCCATTTGTTATATTTTATTTTTTTATAGCTGCCTTCACTTCCCCGGTAAACCAAAGTCCGGGACCCTCACAAAGAACACACTTCGAGATTTTAGAGCTAGTGAAAAACAAACTAACAAAAAAACTCTTCTTTTAAAGCTTTCATTACTAGATGGATAGTTCAGTTAACTAATCAGGCCCCTAATTGAACATTGTCAGTCAGAAAGTCAGATCCTCTGACTCTGGTTCTGAGTGAAATTGCTTCGTAGAACTCAGAAAATTCTTTCTCCTACAACTACAAGCTGGACAGTTTGTCTTCAAGCAGGCAGGTCTCAGCAAAAAAAACAAAACAAAAAAAGGCTTTTTTATTGATGATATAAAAATCCTTCATTGTCCAACGCTTTCTGAGTTACTGTGCCTTGGGGCCCACCTGCACTAACAGTGGAATTTTTATAAATGCTCAGGATTAGCCTAACTCTGCTCCCTTTTGAAGTTAATGGGAGTTTCTTTACCATTGACTTCAGAAGTTCAATTAGGCTGTTGCTGAATGGTTTTGAAAATCTCAACGTAATCTTCATATCGGATGTGGAGCTTGCCAAGCCAGTTTGCAGTGCAGAGACCTCAGATCACCATCAAATCTAGTCAGAGGGTAGAGCACATAAAGTTTCCTTATCTTGTCAAATCTATTTTTTATAAACTTTCCCTTTATTTTTTTAGTAATTTACATTTAACACAGTGCTGTACTGTATTTGCTTTTTTTTTTTTTTTTTTTGGGTCTCTGCTGCTGCCTGATGGCGTACTTTCGGTCCCAAATGAGATTGTGGTTGACCGGTCAGTTGGTAACTTTGGTGTTCATAACTCTGAGGTTCTACTGTATGAAATTTTATTTTCTTTGTGTAGTAAATTCTGTGCTTTCTTTTTGACTTTGATCATTAGATATAACTTCAGTAAATTCACTTTCTGTGGAATGAATTTAACTGAAGTTTTGGTATCAGGGGATCAAATGATATGAATGAAACACTTTTAATGTCACACTTAAGGATCTTCAGGAATAGGGTTATAGTAGGAGGAGTCGATAATAATAAGGTCCCTTATACAGAGAAGGTACTGTAATTGCAACTGCTCAAGACTTGGAGATTTTAGTGATTATGAAGCCAAGTTTGATATTGAAGGTTCGGATATTCTGACTTCAATTTTTTCTTCCTCCACTTACTGGCAGAATTGAGTAAATGGACTGTTTCTTAGAATAATGTAACAATCCTTACAAATTCAGTATTTGTTTTGTGAATAAGGGCTAATTCATGATGACTTTTACAAAATAGTGTGTTACTTCCAAAGCAAGATGCTGCTCTTTTTTTGCCCTTTCCTTGTAGTGCCTTCCAACAAAATTGTTGAGGGACAGTGTTGTGCGGTATTTTTTTATTGTTTCAGAGACAAAATAAATGCTCTGAAGTAGTTATTATAGTCTGATTTGCTTTTTCTTGCCAGCAGATAGATGCTATCAATGACAGTTTTTCAAACATATGGTATAAATTATCCTATCCTATCTCCTAGAACTGGAAGGGACCCTGAAAGGTCATTGAGTCCAGCCCCCGCCTTCACTAGCAGGACCAAGTACTGATTTTGCCCCAGATCCCTAAGTGGTCCCCTCAAGGATTGAACTCACAACCCTCGGTTTAACAGGCCAATGCTCAAACCACTGAGCTATCCCTCCTCCTGAAGTGTGACACTTGAATTTTAAAGTGTTCCCATGGCTGGCTCCAGGCACTAGCCTGGCAAGCAGGTGCTTGGGGTGGCCACTCCGGAGAGGGGCGGCACGTCCAGCTATTCGGCGGCAATTCAGCGGACGGTCCCTCGCTCCCGCTGGGAGCGAAGGACCTCCCACCGAATTGCCGCCGCAGATCGCGATCGCGGCTTTTTTTTTTTTTTTTGGCTGCTTGGGGCGGCCAAAACCCTGGAGCCGGCCCTGCTGCTACCTACATGTTTCTGTTCTTTTATTCTCCATTTTAAAAAGTCTAAGGAATTTGTATCCCCTTAGGTAATGATTTGGGTCCACCCTCAACTAAGACTGCAAACAAGTTTGAGGGAATGTCTCAGCAGTCAAGGTAAGATTTTATGTATTTGCATATAGTAAAGTTGTGCGTGATGTGGCCAATTTATAAACTATGGAAAATCACCTGTTAATTTTCTCAATATTCCAACTATACAATGCATTCTTGCTCTCAGGCTCTGCCAAACCTCTTGAATCAGTTTGAAGCAGCCACGCAGAACTGAAGCTGTGGCAGCAGATGCTGCTGCTGTTTTCTCTCATCAAAATACCATTGGAACTAGAGAAAGTTGAACTAGGCTGTGATCCAGGAGTTTTATTCTCGTGTCTTCTGCTGACGCTAAATAATTCTGTGTACTTCACCACCCTCATTACTGAGCCAGGTCTCGTGCCCCTACCGTACGCTAACACAAGATTTCACAGGTTCACTCTTGGCATAGCTTGGAACAGAACCTGGTTCCCTAATATGACATATATAAGACTCATTCATTTAACCACATATTTCTCAGTCTGACTGATCTGTGCATTTGGATGTACTGTCTGTAATATAAGCTACTCTTGCATATATAACCCACTGGTTTGATGCATTATGCATCAATGCAAAAAATAACACTCTACTAGCTGGAACATAAAAAGATCATAGAAGATTAGGGTTGGAAGAGACCTCAGGAGGTCATCTAGTCCAACCCCCTGCTCAAAACAGGACCAACACCAACTAAATCATCCCAGTCAAGGCTTTGTCAAGCCGGGCCTTAAAAACCTCTAAGGATGGCGATTCCACCACCTCCCTAGGTAACCCGTTCTAGTGCTTCACCACCCTCCTAGTGAAATAGTTTTTCCTAATATCCAACCTACACCTCCCCCATTGCAACTTGAGAACATTGCTTCTTGTTCTGTCCTCTTCCACCACTGAGACCAGCCTAGCTCCATCCTCTGTGAAACCCTCTTTCAGGTAGTTGAAGGCTGCTATCAAATCCCCCCTCACTCTTCTCTTCTGCAGATGAAATAACCCCAGTTTCCTCAGCCTCTCCTCGTAAGCCATGTGCTCCAGCCCCCTAATCATTTCCGTTGCCCTCCACTGGACTCTCTCCAATTTGTCCACATCCTTTCTGTAGTGGGGAGCCCAAAACTGGACGCAATGCTCCAGATGTGGCCTTACCAGTGCTGAATAGAGGGGAATGATCACTTCCCTCGATCTGCTGGCAATGCTCCTACTAATGCAGCCCAATATGCCGTTAGCCTTCTTGGCAACAAGAGCACGCTATTGATTCATATCCAGCTTCTCGTCCACTGTAATCCCCAGGTCCTTTTCTGCAGAACTGCTGCTTAGCCAATCGGTCCCCAGAAGGTAGCAATGAATGGCATTCTTCCATCCTAAGTGCAGGATTCTGCACTCGTCCTTGTTGAACCCCATCAGATTTCTTTTGGCCCAATCCTCTAATTTGTCTAGGTTACTCTTGACCCTATCCCTACCATCCAGCATATCTTCCTCTGCCCCCCATCTTAGTGTCATCCGCAAACTTGCTGAGGGTGCAATCCATCCCATCATCCAGATCATTAATGAAGATGGTGAACAAAACCGGCCTCAGGACCAACCCCTGGGGCACTCCGCTTGATACTGGCTCCCACCTAGACATTGAGCCGTTGATCACTACCCGTTGAGCCCGACGATCTAGCCAGCTTTCTATCCACCTTATAGTCCATTCGTCCAATCCATACTTTTTTAACTTGCACCCTTCAACTACTGCCAGCCAATGGAGTTGCTCTTTTAGCAAAAGTGATAGAGGACTGAGTTTTGATTGCGAAGCCCCAAGTTCAAACACAGATGACCACTTGTTTTTTGGAGGTGGTTGTGTGATGATTGTTACAGTTGCATGTCATAATTTTTTTATTTTTCTTTAAAAAAAAAAAAAAAAAAAACCTAGAAAACTACATCTAAAAATCTTTATTCATGTTACAAAATCAAACACTCACAGGTTAACAAATGCCAGAATTGAGGCTGCCTGTGCATCAGAGGATTGATTGAATTCTGCTTATTGAAAAATATTCTGACAAGATTCTTACTTAACTGATCATCTGTCCTCATTGTTTTACATTAATCTTTATTGAGGTGTTATTGAATTTTTGCACCTTGATTTTTATTTTTAGGCTTTTTTTTTTTTTTTTATAACTCCGGTTGGCTTGCTTTTTTCTTTGTGTTCTTCGCCTCCCAGGCAGCTGGAAATAACTAAACATTCCTGAGGCAGTAGTTAATCTCATGGTGGTGCAGGACAGCCACTTGAGAGTGTGGCTTTTTTTTTCCCCCCACCTTGCTACCATTGTCCTTAAGTGCCATAACACTTAAGAGCTTGTGGAGTTCCACGAGTCTCATGTTAAGGAGCTGTGACCCAGAAGTGAGAAGTTTGTCAGAATGATAGCTTCAGAAAAGCAGAATAACAGGTCAGTAATTTTCCCTTTTCTTGGCAGTGTTTGGCTGGTTACAGGCCAAATAGTAGTTTGGTTAGGAATATATTGAGTTAATGAGGTAAATGCTTTTATAAGGTCAGTAGCCTGAACCAACATGGTCAGCCATTGTGTTTGGGTCAGCTGGGAAGTGGAACCCTTCCAATTTTAACAGTATCTGCTCACTAACATACAGTAGTTAAATCCCCTAATCTGATAATATATTTGTTCAGTGGTTTTTCTCTATTAAAATGTAAGACTCATACTCTCATTTTGTGGAATGTTCCATAAGGTGACCATTCATATTCAAAACCATAATAATCTCTTAAATGCACCTTCATCATCTTCTTATAGTGTATATTTTGGACAGTTTTACACCACACAAGGAGATTATGTTCCTGTATCTCTTTGCAACGTGGTTTTATCCTTGAATTATTCTCCTGAATATGTCTAATGCTTATAACATAGATTCATAGATTCATAGATTCTAGGACTGGAAGGGACCTCGAGAGGTCATCGAGTCCAGTCCCCTGCCCGCATGGCAGGACCAAATACTGTCTAGACCATCCCTGATAGACATTTATCTAACCTATTCTTAAATATCTCCAGAGATGGAGATTCCACAACCTCCCTAGGCAATTTATTCCAGTGTTTAACCACCCTGACAGTTAGGAACTTTTTCCTAATGTCCAACCTAGACCTCCCTTGCTGCAGTTTAAGCCCATTGCTTCTTGTTCTATCCTCAGAGGCTAAGGTGAACAAGTTTTCTCCCTCCTCCTTATGACACCCTTTTAGATACCTGAAAACTGCTATCATGTCCCCTCTCAGTCTTCTCTTTTCCAAACTAAACAAACCCAATTCTTTCAGCCTTGCTTCATAGGTCATGTTCTCAAGACCTTTAATCATTCTTGTTGCTCTTCTCTGGACCCTTTCCAATTTCTCCACATCTTTCTTGAAATGCGGTGCCCAGAACTGGACACAATACTCCAGCTGAGGCCTAACCAGAGCAGAGTAGAGCGGAAGAATGACTTCTCGTGTCTTGCTCACAACACACCTGTTAATACATCCCAGAATCACGTTTGCTTTTTTTGCAACAGCATCACACTGTTGACTCATATTTAGCTTGTGGTCCACTATAACCCCTAGATCCCTTTCTGCCGTACTCCTTCCTAGACAGTCTCTTCCCATTCTGTATGTGTGAAACTGATTTTTTCTTCCTAAGTGGAGCACTTTGCATTTGTCTTTGTTAAACTTCATCCTGTTTAACTCAGACCATTTCTCCAATTTGTCCAGATCATTTTGAATTATGACCCTGTCCTCCAAAGCAGTTGCAATCCCTCCCAGTTTGGTATCATCCGCAAACTTAATAATCGTACTTTCTATACCAATATCTAAGTCGTTAATGAAGATATTGAACAGAGCCGGTCCCAAAACAGACCCCTGCGGAACCCCACTCGTTATGCCTTTCCAGCAGGATTGGGAACCATTAATAACAACTCTCTGAGTACGGTTATCCAGCCAGTTATGCACCCACCTTATAGTAGCCCCATCTAAATTGTATTTGCCTAGTTTGTCGATAAGAATATCATGCGAGACCGTATCAAATGCCTTACTAAAGTCTAGGTATACCACATCCACAGCTTCTCCCTTATCCACAAGACTCGTTATCCTATCGAAGAAAGCTATCAGATTGGTTTGACATGATTTGTTCTTTACAAATCCATGCTGGCTGTTCCCTATCACCTTACCACCTTCCAAGTGTTTGCAGATGATTTCCTTAATTACTTGCTCCATTATCTTCCCTGGCACAGAAGTTAAACTAACTGGTCTGTAGTTTCCTGGGTTGTTTTTATTTCCCTTTTTATAGATGGGCACTATATTTGCCCTTTTCCAGTCTTCTGGAATCTCTCCCGTCTCCCATGATTTTCCAAAGATAATAGCTAGAGGCTCAGATACCTCCTCTATTAACTCCTTGAGTATTCTAGGATGCATTTCATCAGGCCCTGGTGACTTGCAGGCATCTAACTTTTCTAAGTGATTTTTAACTTGTTCTTTTTTTATTTTATCTGCTAAACCTACCCCCTTCCCATTAGCATTCACTAGGATAGGCATTCCTTCAGACTTCTCGGTGAAGACCGAAACAAAGAAGTCATTAAGCATCTCTGCCATTTCCAAGTTTCCTGTTACTGTTTCTCCCTCTTCACTAAGCAGTGGGCCTACCCTGTCTTTGGTCTTCCTCTTGCTTCTAATGTATTGATAAAAAGTCTTCTTGTTCCCCTTTATTCCCTTAGCTAGTTTGAGCTCATTTTGTGCCTTTGCCTTTCTAATCTTGCCCCTGCATTCCTGTGCTGTTTGCCTATATTCATCCTTTGTAATCTGTCCTAGTTTCCATTTTTTATATGACTCCTTTTTATTTTTTAGATCATGCAAGATCTCGTGGTTAAGCCAAGGTGGTCTTTTGCCACATTTTCTATCTTTCCTAACCAGCGGAATAGCTTGCTTTTGGGCCCTTAATAGTGTCCCTTTGAAAAACTGCCAGCTCTCCTCAGTTGTTTTTCCCCTCAGTCTTGATTCCCATGGGACCTTACCTATCAGCTCTCTGAGCTTACCAAAATCCGCCTTCCTGAAATCCAGTGTCTCTATTTTGCTGTTCTCCCTTCTACCCTTCCTTAGGATTGCAAACTCTATGATTTCATGATCACTTTCACCCAAGCTGCCTTCTACTTTCAAATTCATCTATGCATGATCTTAAAAAAAGGGTCATAGTGGGAACTTATTAGAACATTGTTTTTGTTGTCTTTCTTGTGTTTGTATGTTAGACATGTATGACATGTTAAATGCAAAATACTACTCTTTTTATATGTACTATACCAGTCGTATTTACCAGTTTAAAACATGTAACCCCTTGAAGTGCAAATTTTATACTTAGGGAAGCATTGATATAATTCTATGATTGTGCAGAAAGTGGTGTACCCCTAGAAAAAAATGAAAATTACAATAATTATTGAATAAACTACACATTTAAACACACTGCAGTCCTTGTATAAAAAAAAATACATGAAAATGATCTCACTTGTTTGAATGATTCAAATATGCTGTTCATTGTCAGTTTATCATGTCAGATGGCACTTTCACATAGGGTTTCAAGTAAAGGGGAAGTGTAGAGGAAAGGAGAACAAAGTAGTAGTGGAGGAAGAGTAGAGGAGCAAGGAAAATAATTTCTTAAAAAATTGCTTAATTCATTTTGCACTTCCCTGAGCAACATTTACTGGAAGATCAAAGCTTTGCTTCATTCACTCATTATTTTAATATGGAGTAAAAACGGTAGGACTCATATGGAGCTCTACCTTATTGAAGTCAATGGACCTATGAAAACGTACACTAGCTGAGGATCTGTCTGATGGAGAGCAGTCTGTCTTCCTTTGGCATGTTGGCACATGGTTGTGAAATCTCTTTCATTATCTATGAAGCATGCACAAAATGCAATTTTCAGAGTCTCATAACTTAACCAAATCAAAACCAGTTTTCACCAGAATACTCAAAGACATTTATCAAGAAGAGTTATCTCCCTGCCAAATTTAATCTTTTAATCCCCAAATTGTTTCTGTGCAAATTGGGTTCAAGAAAAGGTCATAAGGCATTTTTATTGGGGAGTGTGTATTTTTTCATATTCCTTGTATACAAATTACTCAAATTTTGTTGTTCAGACTTTCAAAAAGTTTCAGCCTTGGACCAAGACCAGGCTTGAAAAACTTGAGCTTAATTGGTAAAGCTTTTGAAAAGTTATCCACAACTGAAAAAACAGATGGACTGTTTTGGCAAACTTATCTATAACAGATAGTGATACTCTAGCTACGGTGTGTGTATTACAATAGTATACACATGGGGTGAACTGTGAAGCACCCAAAGCAAAAGATAGACTATCTTAGACCATTTTGCATGCTTTTGGACTGTATTACCTATGTACTTAATATGGTTATTTTAATGTGTTAATTTAAGTTCTTGACTTGTGCTTTTATTGCTTCTTCTTTAAACAAAATCTGTCAGTTGAATTGCCCTCTCAATTTAAGCAGTTTTCTAAATATACATGTATGCACACCTTGTTATCCATGGAACAGATGTGCCATGCAGTATTAACAATGTGTAGGCTTTGCACAGCTTTTTCCTTTATTTGAATAATCCAAGCAACACTGCTTTGCGTTTCAGGGCTATTTCATGGACAACATTGTGTGTCCTGGCTATGCATAAACTCTTACTATAATTTTTTTTTCTGAATAGTGGGTGGGCACTAGAAATGGAACACAGTAAACTCATTGTTCAATAAGTTTAAATACTGATAGTTCATATCTATTGATTAGCATGGGGTCTGCAAAGACTGCACTTGGCCCAAGAGTTCTTCCTAAACTACCTCAAAAAGGTAAGACTTTTTTAAAAGATATATACATAGTTGAAGTGTGTGTGTGTGTGTGTGTGTGTGTGTGTGTGTATTAAACAAGTGATGATAAATCATAAGGGTCTCAAGTACTCCTGTTCTTTTTTCATAAATTTGGTGTTTTCAGCAAAAGACATTTATTTATGGGACATCACATCTGGAAATTCTGGCAAAATCTATAGGGATTTTCCTTGCTGAATCAGCAAGGATTTTGTCAAAAAACTAAACATATATTTTAGTGCAAAAGCTGAAATCCTGCAGAACCTGGAGGAAAATCAGTAAGAATCTGTGTATTTGTATTGTCCTCCTTCATTACTGATTTATTCCAAGATCATAAGCTCCTTGCAGAAGAACCACATATTCACATGTATTTGTACAGTACTTAGCACAATAGACCAATGACACTGATTGGGGTCTGGTGTTATTACTGGAATATAAATGTTAAATAATACAGATCCAGGGGTAAAAAAATTCAAAATTGTCTAAGTTACTTGGAAGCCTAAATCCCATTTACAAAAGTTACTTGAAAATCAATGGAACTTAGGTCACTTCTGAAAATGTGCTTCAGGCTCCTGAGTCACTTCGGTTCTTTTTGAAAAACATCCCCCTATTCTAGTTGTTCTGGGCCAAGAAAAGAGGTTAAAAGTCTTCCCTTTTTGTTCTGTCAAAGTACAGGATGGCCCATTTCAAACAGTTGACAAGAAGGTAACTGTTTGAAAGTTTTTTTTCTCCTGATGATAATAGCCCACCTTAATCAATTAGTCTCATTAGAGTTGGTATGGCAACACCCATTTTTTCATGTTCTCTTTATATATATATATATATATATATATATATATATATATATATATATATATATATATATTTCTTCCTACTGTATTTTCCACTGCATGCATCTGATGAAGTGGGCTTTAGCCCACGAAAGCTTATGCTCAAATAAATGTGTTAGTCTGTAAGGTGCCACAAGTACTCCTTGTTCTTTTTGCTGATACAAACTAACACGGCTACCACTCTGAAACATAGTCTGTAGAGTGGACCATTTTGAGAAACAAACAGAGTAGAAGATTGGGAGGAAAAGGTGGTCAATGAAAGCCTGTTTCTCTGAGTGATGTGCCAGAATTAACTGAAGAACTGGAGAAAACAGAGAAATATACATACCCCCCTGCACGCGTACACACACACATGTGAGCAAACACACTGAGTGTAAGCATATACAATATAGCACAATTTTACATATGCCAGTGTGTGTGTGTGTGTGTGTGTGTGTCAATGGATATTACAACTGTATTGTTCCAAAGTAGGAGAATCAAAGAATGAATCTGGCCAGTCTAACTTCATTCTGCAAGATAAGAGAAATGCAAAGCATTAGTGGCAAAAACTAAATACAAATTTTAAAAATTCAGTTTTTTACAGGTAAGAAAATTAATTCAGTTCAACAGTGTCCTTTTAAGGTGTAATTGAGATGACAGGTGTCACTGCAAAAGAAGTCAATATTCACTTGGTATAAAGTTAGGTTAGCGTTGACTGTCATCATGGGCTGAAATTACTTTTGGGCCATATACAGAACTCTCAAACCATAGCAAGTGGTTGTTCCAGCCTTTCTGAGGAGTGTGTTACCTAGCAACAAATCTGATATTCTGTCTTATTTGAAGCCCTCATTTTGGAGGGCTTAAAAAAATTTATTTAATATCAGGAGTGCAGTTAAAATAAATTGGCCTGATTTTCAGCCTGAACCTGGTTCATTTGTGCCTTATTTGCATATGTGTTATCACGTGTGTAGAAGTCATTCTTATGTACATGTATGACTAAATCATCTCTCACTTGTAGTAATGTGGGCACAATTCTCATCTAAAAACCAGGATCATCATATATAATGTGAATGTATTTTTGTAGTAGGTTATATTATAAATAGTGTATATGTGTGATATTATTTTGTGATAGGTTTAAATGTGTTGACGGTGTTGCTTGACCTTAAAGCAAATGTTTAACACAGTATGAAATTATCCCTTTTTCTGAGTCAAAAAGATGTGGTACTTTCATCAAGGAGCTTACTCTCTCAGTATCAGGCTTCATACCTCTATACCTGTATAATATGGCTAAGTACAGTCATGCCAGTCGAGTTTTGCTTGGCACACTTAATGGAAGAGTCTAAGGAAGAAAGAGCAGTGAAGCTAAGAAAATGTAAAAATAAATGTTGATTGAAAGGACCTACGTATTTTCCACCTCTTGTAGATAAACTGCAAGGCAATATCATTTTTTAAAATTTCAATCCTTTCTTTTAAATCACAAATATAATATTGCTTATTAATTTCAACTGTTGGGAAATAGTGTTTTATTTAAAATGTGTGAAAGGTAACTCAGAGTATATCTGACATCTTCAGTTATTGAAGATAACTGCTAGGTTTTGAGCTTTTTAGCTTCTTTCATTGTAGATATCTGTTCTTGGAGTTAGCCTGAAATAGAAATTCTCTTTCTACATTTTGTATGATGGAAATAAATCTTTCTAGAAGAAAAGAAGTTGTCTTGCATATTTCAGATTCTTCTTAAATGTAATATGGGGAAATGAGATTTTCTGTCTGTCCATGAAATACATGTGAAAATATCCTGGTTTTGCTTTCTGTTTTAGTGGCACTAAGAAAAATAGAAACCAGTCATCATCTTTCAATAGATAGATCTAATCAACACGTGGAAATCTTTCAGAAGTCTTCACAGTCGATCGATCTACCACAGAAACCACAACCTGGAGACTTGCCCCCAAAGCCTCAGCCTGTGGAACTCGCCCAGAAACCTCCAATTGGAGAACTACCCCCAAAACCAGGAGAACTACCCCCAAAACCTCAGCTAGGAGATTTGCCACCAAAACCACAACTTGGAGACTTACCGCCAAAGCCACAAATGAAAGACCTTCCTCCAAAACCTCAGCTAGGAGAGGTATTGGCTAAAACTCAAGCTGGAGAATCATCACCAAAGCCTCAACCCTCAGAGGCAAATCAGAAATCTCACTCCATAGATCTTTCTCCAAATGTACACTCTAGAGATACCGTCCAAAAGCAAGTATCTGAAGATTCTAATGATGTGACACATACCCTGCCAGAGACCCCAGTGCCGCTTCCCAGGAAAATAAATATGGTGGGTAGTTCTAGTATTCCAACGTGCTGAAAGCCTCGTGGCAAGCTTTGAAGTTCTCCTAAAGCTAAATTTGCAAAAAGACTGCACTTTAGTTGTGTGCACAAAACAGGTGACAGCTCACAAATTTGAGCACAGATGTATGCTTTTGAACGGTTTCAACAGATAATATTTCGGATGGTAAAGCCTATTGCATGCCAAAAGGAATACAAAAACATAAAAGGTCATGCCTGGGAGCAAGGCACTCAACTTAAATTCACCAGAGTATTTTTGGCAGTGTTAAGGGTGCAAATTATGTTTCTGCAATAAGTGGTGGGTTTCTCTGCGTTAAGGAGTTAGAAACATTTGTAAAGCTTTCTCTCTTTAATTCTTTGCTCTCTGCTTCCTACACATAAAATAACTGGGACATATATTTGATTTTGAACATATTTAGAAAAGGGTTTAATAGGTTTTATTTTAAACTTCCTTTTTAATAATTGTTACAAAACTTAAAATGTCAACCACAAAAAATCAACTTTGACAATGTAATAATTCAAATATTTAGCACCTATATGCTTAACAAAGGTGCATAAGTATCACTGTATTTACAGAAGGGCCCATCGAGGCACAGAGGGAAATTTTGACTTGCCAAAATGTAGCATGTCAGTGGCAAAGCTGGGAACAGAACTGGAACCCAGTCTGGAGTTCTCGCCACTACACTTCAATGTAATTCACATCTAACAAACTTAGGTATAGTAGGAACAATTTATCCTAGTCTAATTTACTAAGACACTTATTCAGGCTACACACTAGTTATTCTTGTAGAGTTGCCTTTGTTTATCTCACAATCCAAGTAGATAAAGAAGAGGTGTTAAACATACTTTTATAAGGTTTTCATCCTGTGAACTACCCAAAAAATAATAAAGTGTTTTTATCCAGCAAGCTGGGTATGCAAATGGTTGAGGTAGGATACACAGCTTCCTCTCCTTTGCTGAATGAAGGGGGAGAGCTCCTCCTCCTCTCCTGGGTTTAGGAGAGCATACTCTTTCTCTTCAGCTCACCATTCCTGCCTGACTGGTGAGACAGGGACTCACCAGTCAGAGTAATCGGAAGTGAGAGCAACGGAAGTTTTTGTCTTTTGGACTTCCTTGCTTTCCTACCAGTAGGTGGGACAGCAGAAGGACCACAAGAGGTCTCCCAGCCAAGTGTTGCCTATTCACTTACTTTAAAGGGAGGGGGAAAACTCACTACTGCAAGCTCCCTCTTCCCTCTGAGGAAAGAGGCAAATAACCCATTAATCTTTTGATTAATATCTTCTAAAATACAGAAAATCACACTAGATATTTCCAAATGTTCTGAGGATGAACTGCTGGACCTTCCGTTTATATTTGTTTTTACATCAGTGTAGACTCGCTGTTCTGGCTTAATCTAAATGATATTTATAGAAATGGGGAGGGAGCACCAGAAATGTGTCTCTGCGCTGCTCCAGGTTCTGTGCATGCACGCTCACACTCATATGTTTGGCTGGCAATGGAGCTGCTTAGAGACGTGAACTCTTCAAATACATTTCTCATCTGGTTCCCTTGCTGTGTTCTGTCACCACAAGATGATGGAATGCTGCATCACCACATAACAACACCTATGAGGACAGCCACCAATATCTGTGGGATAGTCTTTGTTTCTTACTAGTCTGAGGGAATCGGGTATTTCAGAAGCATACAGTAGGTAAGACAAAGTACCACTAATATTTAAGGAATTAAATGGGATTTGAAGATAAAATTTGGTCTCAGTATCATTAAAACTACACCTAGTACTAACAGTCACCAGGGCCGGCTCTGGCTTTTTGCCCGCCCCAAGCAAAAAAAAAATAAAAAAATGGGGCGGCCAGAACGGCAAAGCAAAAAAAAAAAACACCTGCAGCACAGCCAGAGCCAGGGTGCAGGGGGGACTCCCTGCGCTGCAGATGTGCCCCGGCTAGCGGGGGGTGGGGGGGAGAGAGAGAAGGGGGGCGGCCAGGGCTGTAAATGAGAGCACAAATTGGAGGCGTCATGTCCATTAATTAGCAAAGCAGCAACTATCATTGTGAGTTGTGAGCACCAAAACCTCTTCCTGAATATTTTGATATACGGACATTTTAGGATGGGGTGACAGATTTGGGTGCACAAAGAGAGAAAATTATTATTAATTGCATTTGATGCAAAAATTAGATGCCTTGAAAATACTTGTTTCTTTACACATCACAACCCCAAACTGTCCTCTGAATGTACATTCCTTTAAAATCCAGCCCACAGTCCTTTCCAGAGAGAGATACCACCTCAGGCTGGCATTCACCTTTCCATCACTTTAATGAGTTAAAGTGGGCAGATTATTAAAATGTCACCCATATATTAATAATAGAGCACGGACTACCTGAAGCAATGTCAGTCACTTTCCCTCACGTCTTTATAACTTGAGACATGTATGGAAATCTAGCTTTCTGTAGAAATTCACTTGAACTAGAAAAATTAATACAGTCTAGTTGGTGGAAAAAGTCCATTCCCCTGCATCATTTCATGATTGATTTCATTATTCATGGTGTATAAATATCACTAGGAGCTGGGTGCCTACTCTCACCTTGGGTATCTATTAATGGTGACTGTCAACCTCTCCTGATAGTTTGCTCTGTTGCCTAACTGGTTTGAAGTTTATTTAATATGATTTTTAGTACAGCATATTAAGTCCAGTGTTGACTAATGGATCCCTTCCCTTTTATTCAACATTCCTTTATATATTTGCAAACAAGTACCATCTCCACCTCAATCTTATTTTTTCTGAGTCTCACATTGTCTTATTGACTAAGCTTGCATGGTTTGCTTACCATTCTTCTTAGTTGTTGCTTTCTGAAGCTTTTATCATTATTTGCCTTCCTTTAGTCTTTGAGTGTTGTTTGAAATGTGATGTATAATAACAGATCATATACTTCCAAGGTAGTCAAGTTTGGAAACTGTTTACACAGTTCCCAGAAAAACTGGGTGCATCTGGAGAGGGGCAGTGTTTGGATCTAAATTGGCAGACTAGGGCAGAATCAGACCTACTGATTGTGTTTGGGTTCAGAATAGTTAACACAAGCCATTCTCATGAGAGATCAGCCCAAAATAGTGCCACTCATCCTAGAGTAGATCTTCATATGGAATTTCTGCCATTGAGTTAAATTTTCATGAAAATATTGTCTTGCTAGATTTAGTCTGTGTCTGTTCCAGAACCAAAGAATAGGTTCATTTTGGTTTTGCACTGGACCTGGAACCAAAACTTTAGTAGAGGTATAGATGCTGGGGTTTGAATTCTTTAACTTCCTCAGTTCCCCTATCTTTCTGAATTTCATTGGCGACTGGATTTCAATTTGGTTTTGCCCTATTCTTAATTCTCATACACGTTAAAGGGATAGTGTATATAGACTAAAACCATGTCAGAACCGTTGTTAAAACTATTTTCTGGTCTAAGTAAGTATAGGTGGGGCCTAAATCATTTAATTAGGCAGTAGTTAGATGTCAGGTTTTCTAACATTGATATAGTTGTTTAAAAACCTTGATGAAACAAGGCACTGTGGCATGATGGGCTAGGGAGCAGGCAGGGGAGATGGGGAAGGCAGGGTTCCCCCTGCAATCAGAGATACAAACTATGGGTAAAATGCACTGGATTTGTAGAATAAATCATAGCCAAAACCCAAAATTTAAATTCTATATATTTATTCCTTTTCTCAGCTCTTTCAGCTAAAATTGTATTTACTTTTTAGGGGAAAAACAAAGTTAGGAGAGTGAAGACCATTTATGACTGTCAAGCAGACAATGATGATGAGCTTACATTTGTAGAAGGAGAAATAATTATAGTAACTGGTGAAGAGGACCAAGAGTGGTGGGTATGTATCTCTGCTTTTATGAAAATTCTGTATAATTGACACTTCATTGGGCATTACTCTCAGCTGAGTAGCAGCTAGCTTACTCATAGTTTCTATATGCTACACCTTATTTGACCTACTTAAAGCTCCTGAACATCAGACCAATCATACTTCATTGAGAAATCCAATTATTTTATGCTTCACAGAGACTTAAATGCAGACTCCCATTCTTAATGGTGTTAGCAACTACTAGGGACAGCAGCAAAAACTGACCCCATTTCATAGGTTTTCAGATGATTGAACTTACTGAGAGACCTTATATTCTCTTTGATTCTTGTACTGCTGCTATTCCAGTTTTATTTGATTCCTTCCTTTACCCTAGACTAGAGGAAACTAACTGGGCAGTGACAACATACCATGTATTGTACATAATTTGCATTAATGTTTGCATGTTTTGTCAAAAAATTATGCAACAGGATTTATGTAAACTTGCATCCAGCGTTCAAATTGAAGGAAAATGGGTGTGTGCAGGCAAGGAATTTACCTCCTTTTGTGGGGAGACAGTCTTCCCGGGACACTGCTAAAACTATCCCTGCCAGCCTCAGAGATACTTCTGAAATGCAATATTTTGTTGCCTTTGGAATTCAGAAGCTTTCCACCAAATGAGGCAGTCTCAAATTTCCCCTCTTGACCCCTGCAAATCTTTCCATTTAAACACTGTGTGTATCTTTGTTGATAAATGATAAAATGTGGTTCTTGTCTGAATTCACCAGCAACATTAAGCTAGTTACAATAGTTGCTGTGAATATGATTGTTGTAATTAATCCCATGCACTGTTGGTTTCCCCTCCAAAATTACATGCAATTGATCAATTTTTGTCCTTACTCTGCAGTTTACCCTTATCTCACCCTCTGTCTTCCTCCGGGATCCCACTCCCCTGCTTCTCTGTTCCTGGACCTGATCCAATCTTCAATCTGTTGCTAACCTCACGGTTTCTCAAACCTAGCCTAAGGCCCAATCCTTCCTTCATCCTCTGCTAGCTTCCTCCCAAGCCCTAGTGAATCCTGCTTCCCGAGGCTGCAGCTGTAAGGAAGGGAAATGAGACAAATTTTACCAATAAAAATGCAATTCCGACTGCTGCACTGTCCCAGCAGGTGTTAGTGCACCAGTCCAGCTGCAGTGCTGTCCATAATGTCTCGGGTCTGGGCCAGACGCAGCGTTTCTTCTCGCTGATTACCACACTCAGGATTTCCTGTCAGAATTCAGACTCAGAACAAAGTATTAAAGGACTGTTGCCCAGATGGAAGGTGCTAAAACATTTTGCTTTTTTTAGTTTCTTTTCCTCACAGTGAGGAGGAAACAGTGGGGAAGGGAAACAGAGGTTCTTTTACAGTGCTAATGCAGGTAACTGCACTGCTACATATGGCTGTTCTCCCAATCTGTGTATAATTACATACAGTCAAAATAAAGATCAGTAAACAGTTGTGAAATCTCAGAAAATGGTCTGCTGGATGTCCACATAATCCTGAAATTTCAGATCTTGAAAATGGAATTTATCGAACTTGTCCATTATATTGTCTATCTGTCTGGACACACAGTTATAATTAGGCCAATAGATGTGCCTCATTAATTTGTATTGACAATGAATCACTGATAAATGGATAGATATGTTGTATGTCCTGTGAATGTCAGTAGTAACAATTCCATTCACATTGAAAAACAAGAGGATCTTATATGTTATCAATATGTCATGGGCCATCCATCTTGCAGATTTCTAATGCATTAATCACTTATGTGTCTTTGATTCAAAGCCAAACTAACAGTTTAATGGCTCTTTTGTCTTCGTGATTCCAACATCGAGTATTCACTTACAATATATGTGGAAACATTTCTTTTATCTGCTTTAATTTATTTATATTTGTTTATACATTCTTTTAAAAAAAAAAAAGAAATTACATTTCATATGCATTATTTAAAGGTGAAGACTGACAAAAGGAAATTTGGAGTTAAGGTTGCCATTCATTCTCTTTCATCAATGTATTTAGCTTTTGGATTGTAGGAAGCTAAAAACAATGGATAGTGCTAAAATAATGCCTAATTTTCAGAAATGTGTACCTAAGATTTTGTTTGCAAAAGATGCAGCTGCATGCACAATTGCAATTTCCCAGTGTGACACTTGCATCTATGTATGTCAATGCATCTTTTGCAAACAAAAATACCTATTTTTGTCAAAAAAACACTGAACAGTGTCTTTTTTTTTTAATTGAGCCCAGTATATTCTGCAGTCGATATGTAGGTATGACAAGGTGAACCAAGAAGAAATTGACACGTCATAGAAGTTAGATACGGAAAAGACCTATTATGTCATCTATTCCATCTCCCTAATAATGCAGGACTGTGCCTTAGGCAATTCAAATCTCTAGCAGAGATACTCTACCTAATTTGTGTAATGACATGGGAGCACTAATTTTTTTCTGAATTTATTATGGCTTTTCTGGACCATTCAGTTTGTAAACTTGATAACTCTTGATTTTGCCTATCTTCAGAGTGCGGAAATGGCTTGCAGGAACTCAGATATTGTGGCAGTGGTGTTATTACAGCAGCACTCAAAGGCCACAATTAGAATCAGGGTCCCATCTCTACTTCTCTTCAGAGGACAGGAATGAGTCCTGTAGATGTCAGGTACAAAAGGCAGAAAGTACGCTGATGATTTATGGAGTTTAAGGTGTGGTAACTACAATTTGAGGCTGGGAAGGTTACACTGAGACCTGCCCATTACCTGACTCCTTACTCAGTTATCCCTCCACATACACCCAAGTCAATCTAGCAAGACCCCAAAACAGCTGACAAACTCCAGAATTGTGGACCTCATCAGGGCTCCCAAGGCTGTGAATGAATCATCACCTTGTACTGCTGGGAAAGAGAAGGCTTTTGCTGGGGCCATGTGCCTCCAAAGTCTTAGCACCATTGGAGAGAGGTAGCCTCTGCTTGTCCCCTTGCCCTGTCTTTTGACACTGTTGGCAGTGGTTGCTGAGTCTCTCCTTCATGAAGGATGCTGGAACCTTCTTAAAAGGCCATTCCCCTGGGAAATTCCATGAAGGACTCTGAATCACCTGGTGCTTCTGGGATTGGGGGATAAGGGCTGTTGGGCCATTTGCTTCAAAGTCTGGGCTCCATAGGGGGTAACAATGGGCTCACCTATTGCCCCTCTCCATTTTGGTAACCTATAGAGCAGTGAGAGGCACATTACTATTCTGAAAACAGTGAACCAGAAGGTAAATCTTCAACCTAGAAAGAAGCATTAAGAGCTAGAAAAGCACTGACTGTATGATAAATCAAGGCATGCTGTTCTGATACTGTTAACTAGAGCTGGGCAAACTATGTGTAGTGGACAAATTATTTAGCTTTTCTCCAGTTTGTGAAATGTCCACACACAAGATAATGACTTATTCATGATTTGAAACTGCTTGGATACCTCTTTATGAATGTATATTATGCTATGGATTGATTGCAAACTGTTTCCCGTACAAATTTGGTGTGTGTGGTATGGTTGTTCCCCTCATTTCCAAGTTATTGAAATTTGTTGGATCGATCCTTTTGTAAACATGAGTGACAGACATCATTGATGCTCCAATTTGCTTGTGGGGTGGGGCCTTTATTACCTGCTCCTCTTCCATGTTTGGTATGTAATGCTTTGCTAGGATTTCTTCTACCCATCTCTGTAGAATTATTCCAGGTAACTTCCCATTTTTAGCAAACTTGTAGGTTTCTCTTTTGCTCTTCTCATCCACAGTCGGCTTCCTAGGGTAGGATAGTCCCAAGATTCCTCATTCTGGAGTGAGTTTGTAGCATTAATTCAGTTCTCTTACAAGATACAGTATAATTATAGGTTAATCTGACAGCCAAGAGAACCTCTCCTCTTTGTGTTTGGTTCAGTGGAATATGTGACTCTTCCAGATGTCCCATTCCAACTGTGATCCTTTTGTTCTAGTTCATTTAACTTGTCTCTCTATTTATCCCAGTTACAACAATGTTTGGTGGTGGTTATTGATCTCTTTACAAATCCAAATATTGTTGTAATCAAGGTAGACAGAGGATTATATTAATCCAAATAAAACAAAATATAACTCTGATGTCTATGTTTGACAGTGGAAGATATTGAAGAGTAACATACATCAAAATGTAGCTTCCTTGGCAAGGGTTTAGATGGCATGCTGTGAAATGTCCAAGAACCATCACCAGGCTTGTACTGATATGCACAAGGAACAGTGTTTTGTTATATGGAGTACGCGAGAAACCCACAATGTTTTTCTCCTTTGTTGCAGATTGGCCATGTCGAAGGACAGCCAGAGAGGAAAGGAGTCTTCCCGGTGTCCTTTGTGCACATTTTGTCAGATTAATAAAATTCAAAACTTGAGCATTGCACATCCTTCATGCAAGACAGGCTTTTTAGCCAAAGCTAACGACTGCTGCCTCCCTGTAATCCTGTGCACAATTGTATATATCGCTGCTGTTACAAAATAAGAATTCATTTAAGGTTCACCTCATGAGGTGAATTATATGTATTGTAAATATACTGTTATTCTGCCTTTGCCAGTATTATGGTAGCCTTGGAACCTGGCATGCCTTATTGGGTTTGCTGAAGCCATCCTTGGCATCTAGCACTTACATCTCTGTCTATGCTGTTAAAAATGTGTATCAACTGCCAGCTTTCCAAACATAGGTTTCCATCGACCATGTAACTTTGTAGAAATGACTGTTCCTAATAACTCAGTATTCTCAATTATATAATTAGCAGAGTTAAGATTCTGTTTTCAAAGTGAATGGTTTTGGCCCACTTAAAAACCAACCTACAATTAAGTGTACACAGTTTACAGCTATGAAGCCCACTTTGGTATTTATTAAAGAAAGTGTTCAGTTAAATGTAAATTTGAAAGCAAAAGAAATATTCACTGACTTTACAGAAAAGCAGTAGCATTTTATGGTGTGCATACAGCATTTCATGTTTATATTATGTGGACCTATGCCAAACTCTGATTGCATTTTCCCTGTGATATTACCTCACTTTAAGACAGTTACAAATTACTTCCATCTGAAAATTTATTTTGATAAAAATTAGTCATACTGTCTTTCCTTATATGTATGTGAAATTTGCTGAAGGTTTTTCACTGACTTTTTAGTAACCAAGGACTTCTAGAAAATATTACACTGTTTATATTACGCATGCATTTAAAACAGTGGTTCTCAACCTGTTTATCATTGTGGGCTGCATATGTGGCCCAAAATGTGTTACCTGGGCCGCAGGTTGAGAACCACAGTGGCCCCCCTCCCCCCAGACCCACTGCCTCCCGCCCAGAGACCCCTCCACGGAGTGGGGCCAGGAGTGGAGTCCTGGGCAGGGGGCCAGGTGGCAGGGACCCCACACCCTGCTGTGCAGAGCCGGGCAGTGCGCAGCCAGGTGGCTGGGCAGACAGGCAACAGCCTGGACCCCAAACCCATGGGGTAGCCCCCGGATCCCAGACCCCATGGGGTCGGCCTGTAGCCCTGGAGTCTGCAGGGCCGGGCAGCAGCTCCGGATCCAGAACTCTGCGGGGCCAGCCGGCAGCCCTGGACCCCAGACTGTACGGGGCCGGTCAGCAGCCCCGGACCCCTGCCATACAGGACTGGCCAGTGACGTCGACCCCGCCCAGGCCAGGCAGCCCGGACTCCGCCACGCTGGGCGGCCAGGCAGCCGGGAACCCAGACCCAGCCGCACGGCCCAGCATCCTTTAGCACACAGCTGGGCCGCAGCTGTGTGCTAATTGGGCCGCCTGCAGGTTGAGAACCACTGATTTAGAATCTTACTTGAAACCTGTCTTTGTACAGGAATAGTACTGTAGTCACATAGCTAAGTTGAAACAAAAGAACATTTTAATTTGATAACTATTCAGATTGAAATGTGAGCTTGCAACAGTATTTATTTATAGCTAATTGGCTCTCTTTGAAAATCACTTATTTAAAAAAAATGTCTTCCGCTTTGCTGAAGGTTATAATTAACGAGTGTAAAATTTTCTCAATGTTATTGTCTGGATAAATTTAAACTATTACAGTATAAAAAATTGTTTAGAAAATCAGAGTGAAAGGTTAACCTTTCATGCAGTTTGTCAGGCTATTAATTATAGAAACTAATCACTAGTATCAAGTTGTATATTAACTGTCTTCATTAAACTATCTTTGTATTTCATAGTCTTAACTCCAAGCACCAGCCAACAAACACATTACCATAAAATTAATTTCTAATAAGTCTTTGGAAGGATGCGTTTGACTTCTGGTAGCGTCAAAGTTGTTACAAAATTGCATTAGTGAAAAACACATTTCTTGCAGTTAATTCACTTAGTCTCCTTTTTTTCTAATCACAACATTTAATGTACTATTAAAAACCTTAATTTACTTCATTTTCTAGATCATTTTTAATTTTGGAACAGAATGAAATTGTTATTGTCTGTGATCAGATAACTGTATTGATCAGTTTCTATGATTTTCACATGCAGGACTGGTATTATATTGCTTAAAATGTTACTTTGGCAACAGTACATATTACTAATATTTTACAGCAGACAGTCTTGGCTACATAGGACGATTTTTCCTTTCATAAAAGCACAACTCAAAAAAACCTTCTGAAAGTTTTCATTTTTAGTGCAGGTTTTACAAGGCTGTAGTCAGTGAATATTTAATTCTATTTATATGGTTATGAAAACTTTAAATATCAAATAAACCTTGCATGAAAAAATATTCCAAAATATTTATCAACTGTTACTGGAAAGTGGTTTTTAAACTATTGCTTTATCAGTGTCATGACAAAAGTGTATTCAAAAGCAAATACACCGGTGAGTGAGCCTGCTCACATCTAATCCACAGTGTTATCAGTTTCAGTATTTCAGACTTGTACTGTTTTTTTATGGAAGGCAGTCAGGACTTGAGTTTATTTAGCATTCCATTTTATCCATTATACAATGTTTTAAGTTGCATTAAAGAAAGAAAAACTATTCACTTTTGTGGTCAAGTGTATTTTTAAGTGATCTCAAAATAATCTGGTAAAAGCTAACCATATAAGGAAAACCTAGACATGTAAAATGATGTAGAAGCAAATGTCTATTCTTTTGTACACTCTTTGCAGTAGTATACATAGGCATTGTTAAAATGAGATTAGTTCCATCAGGAACAAGAGTTCTGTTTGTTCTGGCTTATTGTGGGTCATAGGAAATCTAAACATACATTGTGTGTTATATTGATTGAGTTTAAGTACAATATTATATTTAAACTCAGTGAGCCACTATCTGCAATTTTGTACATGAAATAGTATTTGGAAAGTTTAGATCTTTATAGACAAATAGCTAATAATTAGTTTTTTTCCCTGGGATGGGGATGTTCTGCAAATGATGTCTTATTTTACTGTTGAACAGCAATTGCTATTTATTTTTTTATTACATAGTACATCAACATGTTGTATAGAAACCAGATTTGGTAGTGCCAGTAGTTAAAATTTTGACTTCTCATTTGAATGTTAAGATCAAACATCAGTACACTTGTCTATTCACATGTATTTAAATGTGACAGTTTTTGAGTACTGTATGTGTTAATTTCTACTTTTTTAATATTTAAAATTGCTTTGAAATAAATGTATTCAGTTGATCCCAGACATCTGAACAAGGCCCTTTTGTCAGTTGGAATCTCCTGTAGGAGGAAAGTCTACATCTCACATAGGTGGCTTTTGAGAGAGAACTTATTTTAAGCTATTGAGTAGAGAGCTGAATTATCAATATAAGTATTCTTTAAGTTGATAATACATGTATATGTGTAACCTATTTGTTAAATATGAATGCACTTAGTTTTATCCTAAAACTTTTAGCTACTATGTGCTAGTATCAAAATACACTCATTATTTCATGGGTGGAATTAAGCTTCTCTGATGGCCCCATCAGCTTCTGCAGAATAAAGTGTTAATATTTAAAAAAATGACTAGCCCTTCTGATTGTGAAGAAGAAATTCAAAACGTGCCCTAATAGAGTGCCATCTTTCTGTGGCTGCAGATAGACTGAAAGTTCATAGCTCTTTCAGAGATACTGGGTCACATTGATATCTGGAGCCCAGCAGTCATTTAAATTATTTTTAACTATTTCATAGCTGATTATTTTAGCAGGGAAACCCAACTACTATGGAACTTCTGGTGTGGTATCTATTTCCTCTCTCCCTTTAGAGTCTGTAATGCCCTGGGAAAGGTTCCCGTTAAACAGTACTGCAGTGATATTAGAGAGGTTTGGGCAGGGGGATGGAGGGGTTGCTAGGATTCAAAGGGAAGCAATTCGTTATGAATCCACAGTAAAGGTGACTTACAAAGGGGAAAAATCACTTTTCTTCCATCTATACAAAAGAATTGATTTTTTTTCTGCTTTTTTCCCCCCCAACCTGAGATATCAAATTTCTATTTTGTTGTTAGGTAAATTGGGTTGAGGCTGTATGGTAATTCCTGTGCTCCAATTATCCTAATAGTGGCCAGTAACTCGTTACTTCAGAGAAAGATGCAAGAACCTCTGCAGCAAGTAATTATGGGATAACCTGCTCATAGGAAAAAATTCCCTTCTAACCTTCAATAATGAGAGAGACTACACCTGGCAGGATAAGGATGCATCTCTTGCAAAATTTTTGTTCAATATTTACTATAACTCTGGACACTTTTTTGCTATGGAGATATACCTCTCTCATAGAACTGGAAGGGACCCTGAAAGGTCATCAAGTCCAGCCCCCTGCCTTCACTAGCAGGACCAAGTACTGATTTATATGTACAATATCTTTGCACTGTGCTAGACACTTGGTCTTACTGATGGCCTATATAAGACATTTCCTTTTAATAGCCTTGAATTGCTACTTCCCTGACCTGTTCACACAGTGGGGTTGACATTCTCTCATCCTTTAACTCAAAGGAAAGCAGTGTTTGACTCTTTCACAATGACTTGTGCTCCCTAATAGTTTGGGCTCTTGAGTTCAGTAGGTATTTTAACAAAATTTTAAACAGTCATAATTCTGTTATCCCTCCCATACCTTGGCAAAAACAAAACAAAACAGGGTCTGCCCAACATGACATTTCCAATGCAAGAACAGACAATTTTTGACAGATGGTGTAGAGGGTCTTTGAATCCTGCAGCAAAAAAGTACAGGCACTTTCTTGCTTAGAGCTCAGATTTTTAAGTAGGCCTGCCCTTTCCTTGCACAAGAGAGCTAATATTTTTTCACTGAAATTCCTCAGGCTGCTGTTCAGATTTGTATGATCTGCTTACCCTATTCAACACCAGCAAAGAAAATGGAAGCTTTAAGCTGAACCATGATTGGCTGATCAGTAGCAATCAGTGATTAGGTTCAGATGCTGAGCAGTAAGCCTGCTGTAAATATAGACTAAATCTAATCCTTAATATTTACTGTATTCACTTAAAGCCTATTGTACAGATTACCTACTGAAAGATAAAGGGTTAGAAGTTTGCAATTCAATATTGGAGGTTGTTCAGTAAGAAAATAAATCCTTCAAGCCACCTCCCCCAAAGTAGTCAGTCATATGCTACATTTCAAATGGCCTAGTTAGAACAAGAAGAAAGTAAGTATGGCCATGGAGTGTAGTCGAGGGAAAGCCCTCAACTGTTTAAAGACGTGCTCTGCATGTGCACAGTGAGCACTAATCATTCTTCAACTTCAGGAAACATGAATACTGTTAATTAGTGGATAGATATATCTAAGCCCTAACTAAAAATGCACTGACTACTTGGACACTAATTTGTGACATGTAAGTCTACTTAAAATACACCAACATTGTTATACTGCAAAACACTGGAGAGGCCCTGAGACTGCTTGGCCCTTGTTAGAATGTAAGGCCCATTAGATGCTGCAGGTTCAGGATACTGTAGAAGTTGCTAATATTGCACAAGTATAGGCTTAAAGCTTAAGTGTTGGCTAGTTCAAGATTTTGTTTCTAGAGTATGTGTGATAAGCACAGAGTTAGTGGGAATTTACACCAGTGGACTTTGGTGGTGACTTTAAGTTGAGATATTGAAGCTAAACATTAACACTTTGTAAACAGCTGTTAGTGTAATATTACTTCCTTGCACCTGTCACAAACAAGAAATTAGCTGAGTACTAATGCACAACTGGTTTAACACACATGATTACAGGACAAATGGCAGCTGGTCTAGGAACTACAAATTGACCAGAACCACCCTATTTCACTTAGGCTCATCAGTAAAGTTTGACTGCAAGCATTTTAAACTTGTCTGCATTTGTAGACAGTTTAGAAGATTCCATTTCTTATCAGATCAGCACCTACAAAACCTTAACTATTCTCCTGCCCCATCAGAAAAGCCCCCTTGCAAGACTAGGCAACAATCCCAGCTATAGCTTCCTAGCCAAGAGTGGAAGATTAGTCTAGCCACATGTGCCTATCTTTATCAAGTAGGCTTGTACCAACGGTGCATAAATTGGAGATTTAGGTTAATCTTTCACAGCGGTTAACTGTACTAGATCACAAGTAAAACTAAAGATGCTAGACTTATGCAAAATATCTTGTGTTAAGTTTATTCTAAGAACACCTAAGCCAGCAGACCCAAACTTGAGGGTCATGCCCTGCCCCCGCCCCAGGTGGATGCAGACAGGGGTAAGGGGGCCAGATCTGGGGCCAGGAGCCAGGGCTGCAGTGGGGGCTGGCAGCCAGGAGTGGGTCCACCCCCAGCCAGGAATGGAGCCATGCTACAATTGGGGACTGGGCCAGGAGTTGGGGAGGGTCTGGGTGGTGTTCCCTCCCCACCCCTTTGGGGGCTGGCCCGGACTCTGCCATACCACACATGCCCCAGATACTCCATATCCCCCCTAGGGGGCATGCCTCACACTTTGGGGACCTCTGACCTAAGCCATATTACACCCATTAGTGAGAACCATAGGCTGGACTTTAAGTAAGGAATATCAGTGATTAGAAGGGATACTAAAAGTGTTGCTTGTAAAGGTACAGTACTACCTTGTTAGGCTGGTTCAGTTTCTCTGGCATTTGACACTATAGGGGGGCAGGAGTAAGAGTTTGGCCTCGTCAAGATTAAAATTAAGGAAGACTTTTGAAAGAGAACCCTAAAGGATACTGTAGGGGGAAAACGTCAATTCATAGGTTCTAGGACTGGAAGGGACCTTGAGAGGTCACTGAGTCCAGTCCCCTGCCCTCATGGCAGGACCAAATACTGTCTAGACCATCCCTGATAGACATTTATCTAACCTACTCTTAAGTATCTCCAGAGATGGAGATTCCAGTGTTTAGGGAAAAGTTCCTGTCAGGGTGGTTAATGTCCAGCCTAAACCTCCCTTGCTGCAGTTTAAGCCCATTGCTTCTTGTTCTATCCTTAGAGACTAAGGTGAACAAGTTTTCTCCCTCCTCTTTATGACACCCTTTTAGATACCTGAAAACTGCTATCATGTCCCCTCTGTCTTCTCTTTTCCAAACTAAACAAACTCAATTCTTTCAGCCTTCCTTCATAGGTCATGTTCTCAAGACCTTTAATCATTCTTGTTGCTCTTCTCTGGACCCTCTCCAATTTCTCCACATCTTTTTTGAAATGCGGTGCCCAGAACTGGACACAATACTCCAGTTGAGGCCTAACCAGCGCAGAGTAACGTGGAAGAATGACTTCTCGTGTCTTGCTCACAACACACCTGTTAATACATCCCAGAATCATGTTTGCTTTTTTTGCAACAGTGTCATGCTGACTCATTTAGCTTGTGGTCCACTATAACCCCTAGATCCCTTTCTGCTGTACTCCTTCCTCGACAGTACTCTTAAAATTGCCCTAGGTTGTTCAGCGACAAAGTTATGTTTAAACTAGGACTGTTGATTAGTTACCATTAAATAGAATACCAATTAAAATATGTTGGATGTTTCTACATTTTCAAATATATTGATTTCTATTACAACACAATAGAAAGTGTACAGTGCTCACCTTATATTTTTATTACAAATATTTGCACTGTAAAAATTATTTTTTTCAATTCACTTCTTACAAATACTCACTTGCAATCTCTTCATCCTGAAAATGCAACTTACAAGTGTAGATTTTTGTTGTTCCATAACTGCAATCAAAAACACAACACTAAAATTTAGAGCCTACAAGTCCACTCAGTCCTACTTTTTGTTCAGCCAATTGTTAAAACCAACTTGTTTGTTTACATTTACAGGAGATACTGCTGACTGCTTCTTATTTACAATGTCACCTGAAAGCGAGAACAGGCATTTGCATGGCACTTTTGTAGCTGGCATTGCAAGGTATTTACCTGCCAGATATGCTAAACATTTGTATGCCCCTTCATGCTTCAGCCACCATTCCAGAGGACATGTTTCCCATGGTTTAAGAATCTGAAGTGCCTTCCAAAATCTGAGAGGGACAAGGTGTGGCACATGCTTTCAGATGTCTTAAAGGAGCAATACTCCAGGTGGAAACTACAGACCCCGAACCACAAAAAAAAAAAAAAAAAAGAAAACCTTCTCTGGTGGCATTTGACTCAGATGATGAAAATGAACATGCATCAGTCTGCTCTGCTTTCGATTGTTATTGAGCAGAACCCGTCATCAGCATGGACACGTCTTCTGGAATGGTGGTTGAAGCATGAAGGGATATATGAATTGTTAGCACATCTGGCACGTAAATATCTTGTGATGCCAGCTACAACAATGCCATCTGAACATCTGTTCTCACTTTTAGGTGACACTGTAAACAAGACATGGGCAGCATTATCTCCTGCAAATAATAACCAAATTTGTTTGGCTGAAGTAGGACTGAGTGGACTTGTAGGTTCTAAAGTTTCACATTGTTTTATTTTTGAATGTAGTTAATTTTTGGTACACAATTCTACATGTGCAAGTTCAACTTTCATGATAAAAAGATTGCACTACAGTACTTGCATTAGGTAAATTGAAAAATACTATATCTTGTTTCTTACACTGCAAGTATTTGTAATTAAAAATTAGGAAGTGAGCACTCTACGCTTTGTATTCTGTGTTGTAATTGAGATCAATACATTTGAAAATTTATAAAATCCAAATATTTAATAAATGGTATTCTATTGTTTAACAGTGCGATTAATCACAATTTTTTTTTAAATCAGCCCTAGTTTAAATCTAATCCTACCTTCCTTTTCATCTAGTGAAAGTTTACATGGCTGTTCATGGAAGCACTAACCACTAGAATCACATCCTAGTTCTTGCTACTGCTTCCCCCACAAGTAGATGCGAGCTTGCTTCTTGAGTGGAGAGCCCTTTACATAGAAGGTCCCTGAGGTTCACACTGGCTTGCTGGAGTGTTCTAAAGTAGCTGAGACTCCTGAAGCTGTGGCCACCTGTCAAGCCTACTTACGTAAATGCAAGTGGTAGTTTGACGCTGTCCTGAAGACCTGTTCAGATTGCCTTTGTGGTCTCCACAGCTGGAGAGTGGAGACATTTTTCTAGAAGCTTAAAATAAGGAAGGAGGCACCAAGCTGTGTCTCTCAAATGATTTCTTTATTAAACTAGATGCAGGCCTCTGAGATGAAGAGGCTTTTAATGTTCAAATAATGTTGCTGGCTCTGAACCAACCATAAAACAATCATCCCAATTCGGAGTTAAGCAAAACAAAAGTCCATCTCCAGTTAACCTTATTACATTAAAGGCATCTTTCAATTAAATTGGCTTTAAACAAAAAAAAAACAAAAAACAAAAAAAAAAAAACCCATTTCACTTAATAAGCAGAGCTTTCTGCGCCTGTTTTCTAGTGACACCCGCAGGCTTCTTTTCCACAGATTTGATGACTCCAACTGCAACAGTCTGCTTCAAGTCCCGAGCTGCAAAGCGACCTGAAATGAAGTTAATATTTTAGTTGCCTTTCAAATGAAGGCAAAGGCGCTACTGCTTATATTCATGCAGTCACCTGGTACTTCCTCCAGCCCCCTACCCACATCTGTCATCTTATAATTAGGTTTAAGCTCTTTGGGGCAGGGACCATCTTCATTCTGTGTTTGTACAGCATTAACCCAATGGGGGCCTAGTCCATGACTGGACTCAAGTGTTACAATTCAAGCAGTTCAGACTGCTAGGCTACCTTTAGTGCAGTAACAGTCTGTTTACTTAGGTTGCTTAGCTGAAGTCTACAGTTTACAGTCAACTTCTACTTCCCTGCCCAGTCCATCAAAATACACCAGACCATGATACAGACAATGGAAATGGAAGTGTCTAGGCTTTAGCTAAGGTGACTCATCACATCTCATGTATGTGATTAGTAGCAAATAGGTAGAGCTCCTTGGTATCTCCCATGTGACTTGACTTCAGACACTTGCCTAAAGGGGGATAGTCAAAAAACCTCTCCACACACAGAGGCTTCTTAGGTACAAGCCTGACAGTAGCAGAGTCTCCAGACTTCAGCATGGAGGGATTGTCCTCCAGCTTCTCCCCAGATCGACGGTCAATCTTCTCAAAGAGCTCAGCAAACTGGCAGGTGACATGAGCAGTGTGACAGTCTACCACTGGGGAGTAGCCAGCCTTGATAAAGCCAGGGTGATTCAGGATGATCACCTAGGATCAAAGGAGGGGTTTGTTCCAGGAACAAAGGATCTGTGCTTTAGGAGATTCCCAACCCTCTCATTGCAGTTTTAAATGCCCAGACATTT